CCAGTAACTCAATCCCATGACATTAATGGGTGTGTCTAATTATTTTTCAAAACTGTGCTCCCCATGTGCTCTATTACATGAAGGGTCTTCAAAAATATTGCAACAAAAAATCTATTATTTTTCTATTTCATTTTTTCTGTGAATTTTTGAAGCCTATTCATATATATTTATACACATGCAGTACATACAAATATGTATATACAAGTGTACACGAACATACCTATATATGCACATGCATATATGTACTCCCTTATGACCTCCTATATTTTTACAGTAAACATATCTGCCTAGCTAACAGTTCACAGATTTCTGGTTATTATTGATGTTGCAGAATTGTGTTATATAGGATTTACCATCGTTATCCTTTCTTTTTCTTGATCACATTGTCCTGACTTCTCTTATATTATAATTTGCCTTTTATCTTTACTAAATTAATATGTGGCTACTAACCAGTGAGTGATGCTCCCAGCCCAACCTTGGTAACCATCAAAGACTGTTGCTTTCTGGGTATAAATCTATTCTTGATTTTTATGAAAGTGTTATGATACAATAGTGATTCTTTTGTGGGTGACCTTGTTCACTAAGCATACTGTTCTCCAGATATGTCCATGTTATGTTATTTTTTGACACATAATTATGCTTTATCATTGCATAGGATTCCATTATATTATGTACCGCATTTTGTTTATCTATGTATCAGTTTGTGGGCCCTTGTTAGTTCCATTATTTTTGCTTTGTGAGTGATACTGCAATTAATATAGGTATGCATGTGTGTACTGTTTTTGCATAGATGCACTTTGGTCACTGCTCTTCGCTAGGAGTGAGAGTGTGGCATCATTTGATATTTTCATTTCTAGCCTTTGGAAGTAGTGTCACACTGTTTTCCATAGTGCTTTCATCATTTTACAATTGCACCAAAAGTGTATGTGTTATCATCTCTCCAAAAATTCACAGCATTTGTTTTCTGGTTTGTTTGTTCACTCAGTTCCTTTTTTGCAGGGTGAGATGGTATCTCATTATCATTTTTATTTACCTCTGTCTAATGACGAATGATAGCGAACAATTCTTCATGTGCAGTTAGCTGTCTCAAAGTCTTCTTTGGTGAAGTGTTCAGGTCTTTGGTTTTTTTATTGGATCATTTGTCTTTCTGTTGTTGCAGTGTTGACATTTTCATAATAGAGATGTGTCATTGCCCAAAATTATGGAGATGCATCATTGCCAAAAATGACCTATGTGCAGATTCTCGTTTTACTTTTTTGGTAAAGTCTTTTACTGAGCCTACGTATTTATTTTTAGGAGGTTTCAGTTTCCTAGATTATCTTCTGCTGTTTGTGTATTTTTAATTCTGTTTGACAGTGTACTTATGCCATAAATTAGGACCCCTAGTTTTGTCCCTATGTTATCATGCAGGAATTTTATAGTTTTAGATTTAATATTTAGGTCTCTGATCCATTTTGAATAAGTTTTTATGTACAGTCATTGTGTTTGTGTATACAGAAATTTTGCATTTTTATGCTGACAAATATACCTTTATGTTTCTTTCTTTATTATTATCCATTAGAAAGTTATTATACTTTCTAATTATTTAATACTAGCTTGTTTTTTTTTTGGTACATTTGCTTTGACAATAGTCTTGTTCTCTAGTGTATTGCCTCGTTACCCCTCAAATTAGTTCATCTACTTTTCCCATGCTATTAAAAAAAAGTCTTCCTTTTTCTGCTCATTTGAAATACCACTTTTATCATATTTATCACACATAATTGAGAGAAAATAAGATAATGTTATTTAATTTAGAGAAAATAGGAAAATTTCCAACAGTGGCTAATGAAGTAATATTCATAAATTTATAGGATGTTTACTCTTATATACATTTGAAAATGTATTGGCACCAGAAAAGAAAGGGACTTAAACTTGCATAAAATAAAGGTAATCAGGTAAGAAAAATGTTAACTAATAAACATTTTTCACTATACTCATCAATTCCATGTCAACTTACGATTAATTTCCATGGCATAGACTATAGAGTGATTGAAAATCAGGATTTTTTTTTAAGTTGTGATAGGAAGGGAGGAAAGATAAAAAAGATGATGTTAAGAGAAAAGTAAAACAAATGATTTAAAAATACTATTTTGCTGCTGAGAAACACAAAGATCTCAAACTTAAGAATTATAAACTTGTGCTGAGAAACAGTGATATATTTGAGAGAATACTATATAGCATTGATTTTACAAGAATATATTTTATAGAAATTTATTTTGCCATATATTTTAAGCAATAATAAAATCAGTTTTAAAAATACTGTGCAAAAGGCATGATGCTACTGGCAGATGATCATTCTGATGTAAAAGTTAATCCATTAAATAATATTTTCTTTTATCCCAACACAAACTCATTGTAAACCCAAATAGCTATAAAGTTACTATGTGATAAGATCTTGTTAGAAAACCCACATTTAATAGTCTTACTGAACATAGTATAGCCACAGTTTCTCTATCTTCTAACATCACCAGATTTAATAACAATAAAATAAAAATATAGCTTATACTGTAATCAAGGCTTTTAGCATGCATTTATTTTTACCTAAGCAAAGAGTCTTTTGAAATAAAATTAGATTTTTAAGTTCTGGTTTACTAAGTTACAAACAAATTCAGCATTTGACTTTGTGGTATTTATAATAATGTACTCATATCGCATTGTAAAAGCTGGAAAGCAGTTATCATCTCACCTAGTGATGGTATATAAATTGACAACCCTGAATTTCACATGAAAGAAGGATATTTGAAAAATTCTCATCTTAAAAAGAAGAACACAGATGGCAGCAGACCCACCATGCTACATTATGCTTTATGAAAAAGCATGAATATTTGAATGAAAATGTAGGTATTGACATGAAGAGGGGTTAATGAACCTCGTGTAATGGTGGTGCTTTGCTTGTCTGTAGTGAAACAGGTACAGTAACACTGAGTTTCACTTCCCTCAAGCATGAAAAATCAGACCTTACATTGTAAAATTCTGGTTTGCAGAAGTCTAAGGATGACAGTGGAAGTCCAAAATATGTTTGCAGGATCCACACATGGAAGAAGCCCCCACTGATTCCAATTTAACCACGAGGGAGGGATGGGAATACCCTGGTTATCAGCAGAGAATATTGGATAGTAAATTAAAATGATAAATCTGACTGAATGTTTAAAACCTTGTCATTTGATCTCTCTTTTGATACACTTTGAGCCTGATCTAGTTTTGAATATTTTCTGTTTATTTATTTATTTTCAGATTGGGCCTTGTCTCTTGTGTTTTGTTATTGTTGGTAGTGTTCTTGACTCTACGTTATATATTTTTTTTGGTATGTGAAACCCAGCTTTGGTGAATCTCTAGATAAATCACTAGAATAAGGGTTCTGTGGATTGTAGCAGAGGAGACGGTGTAATGGGAAACTGATGTCAAGGAGTACAGAAAGGAAGAAAATGTTTTGAAACTGATTGTGGTAGCAAATGTACAATACCAAACTATTAAATGGTATGATATCTGGATTATATCCTAATAAAATTATTTGGGAAAAAAATCTACTAGCTCAGCCTATATTCTTCAAAAATTCGTGACAGGATTACATTTGATTTCTTTTTTCTATCATTTAGGTTATTGTTGTTAATACAAATGGTACTCCCAATAGAGAAGAGAAAATTTTCACTATATGGAAAGTATGCTTAATGGCTTAAAGAGGATGATAATGTAAAGGCCCAGTTAAACTGCTTGATATTTGGACTGGAGTAAAAGTAGGATATTGGCAATGGAACTACACTGATTCAACAGGATATCCACCAGGTCCAACTAAAGGGAATTGCAACTCATCATTCTAGCTAATGGTATTTAGACTAGAAGAAATTATTGGCGTTTCAAAATCTGTATCTTATAATCTAGGCTTCTTTCTTTATAAAATAAGTTGGAGCCTTGTGGCAGGATATGCAAGAATTTATTTCCAAATTAATGTCTGCTCATTTATTAATTTGGAACTGATCATCTGACTCAGAAGCATGGAAGAGAATCTTACTATTAATTCTATTCTTACGGTCTATCTGGTCTGCAAACACCTCTCCATAGATCATCCAGTAGGGCATGTAGAAGATGTTTCGGGCTAGTCTCCAAGAAGGTTCTTCATCTGGATGGAGAATGGCTTGACGGGCTACTCCAAAACTCATCAGCACAACCAACATGATGACCACAAAATACAGCATGTCAATCATCTGAATAGAAAAAAGCAGAACATGTATCTCTTACTTTCTTCACACAAAGGCCAAGATAACCGTGATTCAGTGTATTGTTCTCGCAAGTTTTTTATCAGGATGATGAATGTCTCTTTTCATGCTCTCCACCCCCCTATTCTTGAGGCTACTACCTGCAATGCAAAGGCTTATTCTAGAACACTGCTATGCTCATCTATTGCTTTTAGTTCTTGCTTTTCATTTATTGTTGTCCATAAACAAATGTATTTCTAGTATCTACAGCTACAGATGGAGAATGGAAAACATTATGAAAGAAGATGGAGCATGTATAGGAAATTAAGGGGTGATAGGAGGAGACACCTACAGTGGTAAAAGATGATAAATTGAGAATAAATACTCATACTTATTCTTTAATTATACAATGAATTACTACAATTAGCAATGATCAGGTTGCTGAGGGCACTGGATTAATAAAATTCTAATTTTAAACATTCCTAAAGAGGAGGATACTTGCTGAGATTAGTTAAACCATTTCTGTTGTCTCAAAGTTGTTACTTTTTCTATGAAGAGTTTGTAAAAATAAATCAGGATTTTCCTTTCTTCTAGGATAAATCCCAACACAGCAATCTAAGTATATTCTGCTGGTTCATATGTAGTTTTATATTCCATGTTTTGCTTTTAAATAAACCTCAGCATGAATTCCTCTTGGCCTAGTCACCCAGAATGGATTTATCTTGAGATACTTACATAGGGACGTCTAATGATTTATGGCCAGAGGTCAGGGGTTGAAATTTTTATGGAATACAGATGGGGGAATGAACCAGGGCACTCTTTGTCTCTGGCTTCTACAACATGTTTGAAGGTTGCCAATCAGGTTATCACCATATAAACATTCAAAAATACATGTACCCACATAGAACTGGGAAACCAAATCTTTGTACTAAGGGATGATGAAAAAATTTTCTAGTCATAAAAAATAGAATATTTTGAGGTACTTGTTTTGCACCTGAATTCCTATTTCATCAAAACTTGATGGTATTATATCTCCCAGGAAGGAAAGAAAGCGCTAATAAACTCACTGCATTAAATCCATTCTAGTTGGTAGTGATCCGATAGGATTGGGTAGAACTGCCTGTTGGGTTCTTGAGACTTTAAATCTTTATGGGAGTAGACAGCCTTATCGTTTTCCTAAAACTCTTATAAAAGATGAAAGCATTTTCCTATATCTTACTATCAAACTATTCTTACATCAGCTAAGCCATTTCTGTTATCTCAAAGCTACTATACATCAGAAATATAAAAATGAAATTGTTACTTAATAGTTTAAATATGATATGTAAGAAGAAAAGTAACATGCTGAGTGCATATATACAGAGAGAACTCCAAAATACAAACTCATTGCCATCTAATCAATTCTGACTTATAGCGACTGTATAGGAGGGTTCTAAGACTAAACCTTTGTGGGAGCAAGTAGCCTCATCTTTCTCCTGAGAAGCAACTGGGGAGTTGCAATCACTGACCTGGCAGGTAGCAGCTGTGCATTTTACCCTCTGTACAACTGGGCTCCTTCAGAAAGTACTATAGAAAATGTTGGGATTGCTATGAATTGGAATCAGCTAGATTATACAGTTTGTATTTAATAGAAACCGTTAAAGAACACTTCATGGTCATGTTCTTCTAGTAGGTAGGAAAAGCTTGCAGCTGTGTTACAGTGCTAATATTTTGTCCCCATATCCTCTTATATTTTCCATTCATTTCTTTACCTCCTCACATAAAATCTTCGGTATAGTTGTTGAGGCCCACAGACTTCAAGTTCTCTTCCATCATTCTCTCTGGAATCCAATCCAATCCTGTTGTCTCCCTCTCCTCCCTCTCTCTCCATGAACCCCTATCAACGTGATGGCTGATGAGCTCCATGTTGCCAAATCCAGTGGGTTATTTTAGTCCACATCTCACTCAATCTTCAGCATCAAAGATATACCACACCACCATTTGCTTCTTCAAATAATTTCTTCAGCCTCTTCCTATTTCCCTTTTGTCTCCTGCTCACTCCTCATTCTCCTTTGCTGGTTTCTCCACTTTTTTCCTCTCTCTATAGGTTCAAATGTTGCCAGGGCCTTGCCCTAGAATTCGTATTGTCTAGACTTTCCAATGTTTATTTCCAACCTTGACTTATTTCCAAATCTCTGACCTTTTCTCTGTGTTACAAATGCCTATTTTGAATCTCCACATCTACCAAATGCACACTTTAGACTTATATCTAAAGGCTCAGTCTCCCTCTCCAGACCTGAATTGCTCCCATTTCCAATCACAGACCCACCATTTATCCCATTATTTAGACAAACATTTTTGAAGTATCCTTCACTACTCTCTTTTATCTCAAATCATTATCAAATGCTGTTAGCTCTGGCTTCAAAGCATGTATGCTGGGTAGCACTTCCACTTTCACCCCAGGTTCTCCTCACTGACCTCTGCTTCCATTCTTGTATCCCTGCAGTCATGATAGCCCCTCTGAACCAAAATTAGGACACGCTATACCCTTACCTAAACCACAGATGGCTTCTCTTCACACCCAATATCACCTCAAATGCTCACGCAGTCCAGTGCTCCTGAGTGGCCTGCCTCGTGCCTAAGTATCTCTGCACTTGTCCCACACTAGCTGCCTTTCCCATAGCACCCCTCGTACATGATCGTCACAGGGCCTTGGATCTCGTTGTCCTCTCCACCTGAAATGTTTCCCACAGATATTGTGCTTATCTTACTCGCGTCATGTGACTTCACACATCACTTTTTGGAGAGGATTCCTAGAACATTCCATTGGCAAGAGGAGCCCTACGACTCTCCCTCTTTTTGCATTGTTTCATTCTCATTTAACTTTCTATCATTATCTGACACAGTTTTACCAGTTGCTTTGTTTGAATAAACATTGCCCATCTCCTCAGAGGAGGTAAGCTTCAAGTAGGCAAAGACTTTGTCCACCCTGAATTTATGGTGTCACAGTGCCTGAAACAGCATCTGGCACAGGGCAAATCTTCAGCCATCTGGCAAATGGATGAAAGCCAAGGAGGTCCATTCTCAGTATCATGTGCTGAGGGTAATATTCTGTTTTCTATACTTATGAATCTGTATCCTGTAAGAAACAACTTGAATGTGAAAGACCATATGAATCTCCAAGAACCATGCCCAAGGCCTAGGCTTGTTTCCAAGCACAGCCAAGATGTCGATACTAACCATCTTTCCAATCATCATCACATAGGGCCCCAGGTACTTGTTGACCCCAAAGATGTCCAGGACACGAATGTACCAGAAGATGATGTCTACACAGTAGATCACTCGGCCATAGCCCATGTAGGGCTGATTCTGTAGGCGAAGGACCACCCCAATCATGAACACAGAGATCGCCACAAGGTCAGTGATGTTCCAATACTCCTGGAGCCAAACTTTTATCTTCTGGCTGAGTTTTCCTGGTTCTGACATGAGAATCTGAAAACAAATCCCAAAGAACACATAAACTGAGAGTGTTGTGTGATGTCCTCATCTTTTTACACTTTTGGACAGATGGCCGGGGGGAATATTACTATTCCAGGGCATCAGGTCCCCATTTCCTGTTTAAGACCTCTAAACACCATTCTACTTAGACAGAAAACACTATTTAGACTAAGGAATTCCATGGCATCTTCTATATTCCGTATTTCACAAACACCACTATCAGGAACTACTTTCCAAATTATATCCTTCTGTACTTAGAGCAATTTTCTTTTGATTTCAAAGAAAAAAATTGGGGCCTGTACTTGCCAGATCATGTTTCAGGCTTAGTCTAGGAGAAAAACTCCTAAGTATAGATAAGCTCCCCACAGGGGGGCAGTGCACCTCAGGGGAAATGCCAGAATTGGACGTGGAGATAGTTCTTTACCAGAATTCTTTTACAAGTCAGATGTGAGAAGTCAAAAGAATGTTGAATTTGTTTTACCCCTGCTTGAGACAATAGTTCTGGAAAATTACCCCTGGTTAAAAAAAAAAGACATTTTCTCAGAGTAAAATTGGAACTATTTAACAAGCAGCATGGTTTGAACACTCTAAAGATAGCATCACAGTTTGACTCTTCCTAACTTAGGGAAGAATCACCAGCCGAAGGCTGGTTTCTATGAGGTGAGATCAACCATGTCTCCACCCTCCAACCATTTTACTGGTTCTGAAACCAGTCATTATGTACTCTGCTCAGTTTAAGAAGTGTTTTCAATGGCCATATGTAACTCAGAGACAATACTCTCGATCATGGGATTTTTTTTTAGGGAAGTAATAGGTTATAAATCAGGATCAGAAACAACTCAAGATAAAATTCTTCAGCCAGAGAAACCTATTCTCAATTATTGGGCCCCCGTAGCTTGTCATCCTCTGGCAAGTGTTACAAAGCTCTTTAACTCTGCTAATAAGTTTCCGGAGACACCTGTGCTGCCAGCAAGCTTTGTTGTCGTTTTTCCCCGTGTTCCTGAAGGTACTCAGCTTTTTTCACTCGGTGGGCCAGAAAGCCCACTGCACTATCTTCTGCTAGTCTCTTAAAAAAAAAAAAAAGAAGTCCCTACTTCTGCTTACTTTTCTCACTTTTTATCTCTTGCAAGATGACAGGCATGAAAGTAAGAACATGATTTGAATAGGGGTGGTAAGTATGGGTGGTGACTGGGGTATGGCTAGTGATGTGAGGTACACTCTCTAGTAAGGTAGTGACAAAGCTATGTTGTCTAGTTATTTCCAAACCACAGTGATCTTCTGCACAGCAGAACAAAACACAGCCTGGGTCTGTGGGAGCCTCACAATTGCTCCTACGCGCGATAGACGTGTCAATCGTCTCCGTGAGGGCCTTCCTCTTTTCCGCTGCCCCCCTACTTTACCAAACATGACATCCTTCTCCAGGGATAGTCTCTCCTGACAACCCATCCGAAGCCTGTTAAATGACATTTCCTCATCCTTGCCTGTAAAGAGCACTCTGGTTGTTCTTCTTCCAACACAGATCAGTTTGTCCATTTAGCAGTCCATGGTATTGTCTCTTTTTAGAAATTCATTTAATTATTTTTTTAAATGTTGGCAAAAATACAGGTAACAAAACATTCTCCGATTCAATAACTTCTACATGTATAATTCATTGCCATTGGTTATACCCTTTGTGTTGTACAACTGTTATTGTTATCCTTTTCCAAATTATTCTACCACCATTAATATTATTCTACCACCATAATTATTTAATTATTCTACCACCATAAATTCAATGCTCCCTAAGCAAAGACTCTTCATCCTTCACCTATAGTAACCTATAGTCAAGTTTGGTTTCTCTTTTTTAGTTTTTGGTTGATATAACATTCACATGTCATACATTTCCATAGTTAAATTGCTTTTAAAAAGAGTTGCATATACATCATCACAGTCATTTCTAATGCTCCCTCCCTACTGCATTCATTGTGTGGTAGTTACACAATTCCATGTCAACTTGATAAATAAGAATGAAGGGGTGGAGGCTAGCCTGTCAATCAGGTCATAGCCTGATGGTTTCTTATGGGCATGGCCTTCTGATGTCTCTCTTCCTCCCTGGAGGCAGGACCCACTCTCTCTCTGCTACACATTCCTATTGACAAGCAAAATAGCATAAGCATGGCAGCCAGAACTCTGGAGATTCTTCTACCGCTACTGGACCCACAGAACTTTCCACCCACTGTCTTGTGATCTTCCTACATTTAGCATCATTGTATGTGCTGTGTGAGTCTGAAGAGAAATTCATCAACTAATATTGGGCTTATGGGCTAATATCAACCTTACGGACTTGATCTGGACTGTGCTCGGATGTTTTATTGATGCATAATTACTTCTTGATATAAAGTTCTCTCTTACACATATATGAGTGTCTCTGGATTTGTTTCTCCAGTCAACCCAGACTAACACAGTTTGCTCCCCGATCCCTTCCCCCTGCCATCCACATCCCCAATAAACAATTGCATCAGTTTTTGTATCTATGCATCCACTCCTTCTGTGCTTCATAATCAGGGAAGCCTAACAGAAACAAAAACTAAAAAGAAAATGAAACACAAAGAGGAAAATAATATTAATAAAAAGATAAAACAACAAGCAAGAAAGATAAAACAACCAATATTTTTAAAGTCAGAGAAGAAATTTCTGTCAAAGCCAAAAATACTTGAGCTTAGAGGAAATTCAGGTTGGGTCAAGAGGGAGGTCAACTGATCAAGTATCATATTATACCATGATTCGATCCACCATAATCAAGTTTACAATAACTTCTGTCTGATAGTAAAACTGTTTGATTCCCTCGCCTGACTAGAGGGGATCTGCCACAGGCTTAAGCTGACTAGATATTCTGCAGATGGATATTGGGCTCCCACTGTTCTCCATAGCCTTCTACAAATTGTGTGTTCATAATGTAAATTCCAGTACTTTTCCCTTCATCATATTTGGATTTTGTTATCATTATCTTTAGATCACACAGGCTGGTGTGCTTCTTCAATGTGGACTTAGTTGACACCTCACTTAGATGGCTGCTCGCTTGAATACAAGTCCCAGATACTATTCCAGTTGATAGCCAGGCATCATCTGCTTTCTTCACCACACTTTTCTGTTGCACCCTTATATTCAATGATCTCTTCATGAAAGCAAGTATTGAGCAGGACCATGTTATTAGTACTAATTGTTCTTGGATTGGGGCTAGAATTATGTGGGAGCCCCAATTACATCTGTTTATCCATGAGTTGTGAATGACTCTGGCTTACTTTGGTTGTCATATTATGACAAAAACAGAAACAAACACTAATAAGAACAACAACAACAAAACACACAAAACCAAACATAAAAAACAAAAATCAAAAGAAACAAAACAGAAAAACATTGACATTCATCCCTCCTGGGGTATAAGGCAAGTGCATTGATAATATCAATAATTTAGCCAATGGCATAGAATTTAAGGTGCTGTTGATATGAGGAGTTTATGCTAGTATTCCAACTTGGAGCTGAAATCTGTGAGTTATTGCTTTATACAGCTTGATTTCTTAATTGAGTGAGTTGTTTACACTGAGCATGGGGGTTGATGCTAGGGGAAATTTTCCTGTCTCATTTTTTACAAGTGTAGATCCTTGCCTCTCAGATTAAAACCTGTCATATTAATGCAAGAGGATTATTGGGGTACTAAATATATGGTCCTTCTGGGTCCCCTTTCGTTGGAGAACCACTAAGCCAGGGATCCCACATGAGGCTCAATGATTGCCATTTCTACAGTCTTGGGGTGGTCATCTTTTGCTTCCTCTCCCATCAGAGTATTTCATCCCGAGGTCCAAGGGCCCAGGTAGTTTTTTTTGTTTGTTTGTTTTTTTATTTCTTTTTTTTTTT